TCTTTCCCCTGTAGGTGTCACAGGGAGTAGTTGAGCCCAGTCCTTGACAGTGGCATCTCCTAGAAAATGACTTTCTAATACATGTAGGGCAGTACCTGTGCTGGGGCACCTCACAGCTGTGTCTATCCTGGCTACATGTGAGTGGGTTCCAGTGTGTGCTTGATGCTTTCGTACATGTGCATGCTTTCTTGATGGATTTGGCTTCTTTTGCAAGAGTTCCTTCCCTAGACTGAAGGTGGACCAAGTGCAAGATCAACAGCTGGAAAAGTGACCAACCTGGAGAATATACACTGGGATCTTTGCTCTTCTGTGTTCAACACACTGGACAAAGCGAAACGCTCCCCTGTTTCCGAGAACCCAATGTGGAACCTGCATGTTTAGTGCAATACAGTATCTTTATTCTTCATCTTTTAATATACTGATGTCATGTGGAAGTGTCTTCTAGAACACCGTGCTTCTGTCTCTGTGCAGGCGAGGCTGCGTTCGCATTTGATTTTAGCATGGGGGAAATGTCCTGTAAGTTTTGAAGCTAACGCTCACTTGTGTCCAGCATCCAGTTGCTACGATAGGAGAGAAATCCCGATTTCTAATAAAACCTGACAGTCTGTGGTGAAGGTATATTAAAGTACTTCTCTGTGTTATCCTGATCTGACGGACGCTTTCTTGTTATGTCATCTCATGCCCCATTGAACACGCGAAAGAGAGCGCCCACAATAATTCAGCTGCAGAATCGGCTGGATGCCAATACCTGCTTTCTTTATTACCCAGGTATTTTGTGGCCTGATGAGAGAGCCTCAATGCCTAGTGGCATTAGGGACAGAAGAAGGCAGGGAAATATGTTGATCAGAGCAGAGGAGACTTCCAAATCCAGTATTTAAGGCATGGAGGCTTGTTGTTAATCCCACACCAGTTTCAGAGGTGCTGATTCCAGCATGAGTGCAATGGAGACGGCAGCTGTGGCATCAGCCAGCCTCGTTACATCCCACTCTTCTGCCGTGTTACCAAAGGTTGAAATTCCTCCTTAGAGATGAGGGAGGAAGCCAAGCTCTGCAGATGCACGAGATGTGTATTGCCATGGTTTTTTGCACTGAAATAAAGGAATGTATCAAAATTTACTACGTGGTCCTTTCCCGATAGTCATCTCGCATCAGTGAGACGCTGTTGACGATGACTGCGTGGGGCTACTCCCCTCTGGTTCTTTGGCTCCACATGTTTAATAAGGTTCGTGGAACATACCTCAATTTGGTGGGGCGCGAAGTCAAAGCCATTTATGAGATCTTAGTCAGTGTAGCTTCCTAAACTTGACCAGACACGCTGCTAAGGGCTACCGGCTTGTACCCAAAGCGGTGTGAAAGAGGGTGCTTCATGTTCTTTCAGGCCCAAAGGTGAAGGTAGAGTAGTCCTTAGCGCGTACGTACCGCAGTCGGAGTATTTGAGTCACTCCACTCTGGTTTTCTTTTCCTTTGGCAGTGCTGTTGTATTGTGATGACATCGCGAGTCCCAGTGGTTATTATTCCCTCTCATTTTGTGTACGATCTTGTGAATTTATTTGTTCCTTTCTTTCCTCTGCTGGTCCTAGTGACGGCAGCACACATTAACTTATATTTCAGAGTAAATGATGTAAACCTTATTGTGTCTTTGTCCAGAACTATATTGATGAATAAATATCTGGTTTAATTGCACATTCAATGGATTCAATAAAAAGCACAACTACTTGTGATGATGTGGGAGACCTCTGTGTCTTTGGGGCTGGTCGCAGGGAGGGGTGTGTGTGCAGAGAGTGCTGATGTATGGCATGAAGATAGCAAAGCTCTTCCCCAGCTGCCAATAGCCGGAGGGATGCTCGCTTTGTACCTAAGCGTGGACAGATTGAATACATCCCCAGCCTGGACAGCTGGACCACAGGGAGTCTTCAAGGAGTTGAGTGAGAAGACACAGAGTCACAACATGGTCGGGCTTGGAAGGGCCCTCTGGAGCTCCCCCAGTCCACCCCCCGCCAGAGCAGGGGCACCTCCAGCAGTGGCACAGGACGGCGTCCAGGCGGGTTTGGGATGGCTCCAGAGGGGGAGACTCCCCCACCTCTCTGGGCAAAGATAACCCCTTCTGCTTTATACCACTTGATCAGCACTGGTGGCACGCAGTGCCTGTCTGAGAAGGGAGATCTCTTTCCAAAGGTCCTGTTAGGGACTTTCACAGCAGGTACGAATTGGAGAACAGGGTACAAATACCCTCTTCTGGAGGTGGGATGAGGTACTTGTGGATCAGCTTTTTCATCTTTGCCTCCATCATCTCCCTGCAGCGTTGTTGTGTGCTGCACAGCATGGCAAAAATTGAGGTAAATACACAGAAATAGTCCGTCCTTCAAAGAAGCAGTGATGGGTTTGGTGTACACCTGTAGTTTATAGCTCATGGTTTGGTTCTAGGCTGCAGGAAGATCTTCCAGGAGCAGACAAAGATGTGAAGAATGAAGCCCAAGTGGGTTGGCTTGGAACAAGCAGTCTTGTAGCAGGATCCCATGTCACTCTGAGCCGGGAGGTTGGACTGACCCTGGTGAGCCAAAAGCAAGGCAGTGGTGTCCATGCAGCAGCATAGTCTCTATACCTAAAATGGGCAGAGAAAATCCTGTTGAAGAAATGTACATCTCAGGGACCCAGAGATTCCTTCACACTGTCCAGAGAAAAATTTTCAGCCTCTAGAGAGATGCAGAAACAAAATGCATAATCCTCCAGCACCAGGCTAGTGATAGTAGAGCAAGACAACTAAGGTAGAGTTGCTATCGGTAGGGCCCTGTATGTACCAACAGGCTTTAGTTGTCCTATGAGCCTCACCTGGGTCTCCAGCCCTTGGCCTGGGACTGCATCTAAGCTCAGACCTTCACCCCTCCTCTCCTTCCCTGAGCAGGGCTGTGCGTGTGCTGAGCCTCCCCTGGCTCCTTACTGCCCCTGACCACCCTCGACCCTTCCTCACCTCCCGCGGGTGCTCCTGGGCTGTCCGCTGGACCTGCTTGTCTCTCCCCGCTGGCGTGGCCCCGTGCCTCCATCTCAGCCTCTTCTGCAAAGCAGCTCCTCGCTGCACCCAGCAAGTGTCTTGTGTGCTGTCTCCTGCTCCTACTTTAGCACTGCTTTCCAGGACAACATTGTGTGGGGCAACATCACGGGAGCAGATATGCAGACCTATGGAGGTTCAAATGCCAGCTAGTGAAACACCCTCATCCCCGGGACTCTGTCCCCTTTCCATACGCAGAGTGAAGAGTCCCCCGGGATGAGGATCTCCACAAAGCCGGGATGCAAAGCAGGGATGAGCTGTAGCTGTCCCCTGAGCTCCAGCTGAGAAAATGGCATTTCAGCTGAAATATGACACAGCTGTTAACACATTTCTGGCACTGGACTGAGGGCAGGGTGACGCTGCTGTGTCTTCAGACCGGAGAAGGTTGGTGACCTTTTAACAGGTTCCCTTTTTTAGTAGCAATCGCATTGCACAGACAACTTCTTAAATGTAAAATAGTACCTTTTTCTTTAAGGTGCAGAGAGTTACAGTACCAGGGCTCTGGCAAACATCTGTTTCACTTTGCATTTTCAATTCTGGCTCAGATAATGGGAGCTCTTGCACAAGAAAGAAAAAACCAGCAAGAGTCCCCATTATTTACCAATCTAGAGAGGTATAAATCACGGAGCTGGTACAGCCCTGTTCCTGTGATTTCGGTTTTACGGGTCATTACTGTAACTGGCTTGTGATGCTCTTCTTTTAACATACAAATGGCACCACTTTATTTATTGTGGGTGGGATCGATTCCCCTCCCAAGGGGTCCCCATTGAACCTAGCATTATTTGCACTGAGAGGGGAAAGAGAGGCTTTATTTTTTCAGTCATGTGAAACCCTCCTTTCAGGCCTGGCTTTGTTTTCTCCATGGCTGAGCACCCTCGCAGGCTGATAGCTGTTGTGGCACTGTAAGTTCCAGTAGGAGCTAAAAGGTTTGTGGGGGTAGGGAAGCTAAATGTCACTGCCCGTGTGTCTGCTCAGTCATACCGAAGGCGGTACTACTTTGTGTTTTGTAAGGGAGTTTCGGGGTAAGTTGGCAATGTAAAGAATAACCGTTATAAAAAGCAAGGTGGCCGATTTCTTTTAGCCCCGCTAAAAGTTTCTGAGCCGGTTCAAGTCCTACAGCTCGGATTTTTTCTCTTTGCTTTTGCAAGTGATTGGGAACCTCTGGGTCTGGTTCTGAGCAGCGGCACTGCTGGGGCACAGCTCCCCTCCGCAGGAGGTCCCGGGATGCTCTCAGGCGCAGCAGCGCAGTGTGGTGCTGCTGCTCAGGGGTTGCTGTAGCCATGCACAGATTACATCTGCATGTGGAAACTGCCAACTCCGATAGTTAAGGGAAGGTGCTGTTACAGCTTTGCAGAGAACTTTGCTTGGTTTTTTTTTTTTTATTTTTTATTTTACTCCTCCAGCTTGGTACAGTGCAGGACACTCGGTATTCTTGGGTCTATTGGAGGAATGTGCTCTGCTTTGCTCTACCTACCTGAAACAATATATATATCTCTCATAAGATTCCTAAGTGTTTGGTTACTTAATAAACCTGTGCGGATGTTCAGCATATGGATTTCTTTTCTGTATTTCTAGAAAGAGAGAGATTGAACAGTTTCCAAAATCCTGTGCTACAAACTTTTTCCCACTTTTAAAGTCAGATCTAAAGACGACAACTTTGTCAGCAATGCCCTGGACGGTGGAGTCCAGCTGAAGATGGTTAAAGGTCTTCCCAGATAACTTTTTCCATGTGATACAGTGGCAAATAAGATAACAAAGAGGGTAAGTTGTGGAAGGAGGGAGAGGGGCCGGAGGGAGGCTGCAGGAGAGGAAAGAGGGATGGTTTGGTTTGCAGCTGAGTCAGTTCTGATGCAGCTTTCGTGCTTTTTCACTCTCCCACAAGTGGAATGACAAGAGCTGCAAATATATTCGTTTTCTTCCTGTAATAAAACCGTCACTGAACAAAACAAAATGCCAGGCAGGAACACTGCTGCTTTCCAGATGGGGAAGCAGCTCTGTGGTATGAGCCTTGTCTTGAGAATAAAGTATTGATGATGGGCTTTGCGGGGGGGCGGGGGGTTGGCATGC